TCCTTTAATTGTAATCTCCGGTATTTTAATGGGTTGACTCCACTGCAGTCCAGCTCACTAAGGGTCCATGCACACTGGCTTAACCTCCCTGGCGGTATTCTCGAGTGTAGCTCTGGGTAAAGTTTCAGTACCAAAAGCGGTAACCCCAAGCTACACTCGGGCTTACCATGCGGCGCTGCTCTGGGATCTGTTCTTCTCTTACCTTGTCCTGCACTCCCGCGATGTCCCTCCTGCAGTGTCCCCTGTAATGTCCTCCGGCTGATGCCAGCATCTGTCTTCTGGGTTCCATCCCCTGCGACGTCGGGGCGTACGGGGACGGAACTGGTGGGAAATTTGAAAATGACAAAAAGTGACATTCACTAAATACACTAAAATCACTTAGTAAAACATTACTGTATCAAACCATTTTTACATAAATTTTGTCCCTAGTGCTTTGTCCTGTGCCCTGCCTGCATGTTTACTGTTCTTTCTGCCTGGAAACTGAGAAATGTCCATGGCGTCCAAAAAGCGTCCCTTTAGGTCAAAATCGGTTTTAGACCAGCTAGAGAACAGCGATAGTAAATTAGAATCACTTGCAGAATTGAGTGATAATGTTTCGTGGGGAAATTCGTCATCAGACACTGAAAACGATTTTGTGACTTTGCTCAGTGATGTGCGAACTTGGCGCTATATTTCAAATTTCAGTGTTTTTGGTTTGATTATATTATTGAATTAAATTTATTATTTTTATGATTTATTAAATTATAATTTATGATTTCGTGTTTCAAATGTTATCATACTCGGGATGTTTACTAGACTTGTTCGGACAGATTTCAGTGAGTTATTCCTAAAAATTACAGACCTACAATAAAAAAAATACATATTTCCATGCAAAAAAATGTACCGCTTTGAGCACAGAAATATGGACATAATCAGACAGGGAGGTAAAGAACGCTGCCCTTAGAGGAGTTTAGCGGGGTTTTTTTCTGTAGAAGCAACTAATGTTCTCCTATGTGGCCATGCACATTAGGTAGTCTAGAGGTGTTTTTTAAGCTCTGTGTATAGAGGTAGAAAAAGAATCCTTCTGTTTTTTTACATTTTTGAGAATTTTTCTGGCAGAAAAAAAAACGGAACACTCCTAAATGTACCAGCTGCTAAATGCTTGTACAAAAAATATCAAAATTAGCATTTTTTTTCCTGCCAAGAGTGCAGGCAGTTGTTTAAGCCAGTGTTCATGGAGCCTAAAAAGGGCAGGCTTGGGGAGGAAAGGGCTGGATGATGCAAGATGCATATACTTCTTTTCAGGAATCTTTAGGTTTGTTACACATATATACAGTGACTTTCACATATTTATTGTTTTTTTTTGTTTTGTTTTTTTGTATGTGGACTACAAATTAAGATCTTCAAAAAAATGTGTGAAGCTGCAGTGTCTAAAACTACCAGAAGGTTAATAATCCCACATAAACATAAAATCCTTGACATTTTGTGATATCAAGCAAGGAATGGAAACAAAGTAGCTAACTTTACATATCCTGGAGGTCTTTTAGAAGAATGCTACATTTTAGCTTGAAGCAATCCAATGTTCATTGACTTTTGTCTCGTGTCTAAATTCTCACTGCTGGATACAGGGTTTAATACTATTGGCATTACAGCTGTCACCCCTTCTGTGGCACAGGTTCACCAAAGGTGCCAAGTCTAGGTGACACCTTGGTTTTCACCAGAGTACGGATTGATGGGTGTGAGACCTTGGTGGCCCTCAGGCTACTTTGCTGCGTAATGTGATTAGGTCACAGCCCTCAGAATTGCCTCTCCAAAGGGGCCACAGGAGCTGGGTGGCTATGATGGGGAGACGGATAAGCAGCACCAGAGCTGGTTGAAGTTCAGGCTGAGGTTGAGCCAGGAGACAGGCAAGAATAGTTGAAGTCCAGGCAAAGGTCGAGTCGGGCACAGACGGCAGTAACAGGAGCAAGCAAGGTCAGCAGCAAGGACATGAGATACAGGCAGAGTCAGGCAATTGAGGTCACAACAAGCAAAGCAGAACAACTGTAATCTCATGTACAGGGTAGTTGGCAGGGTCAACAAAACACTGGTCATCACAAGAGACAGAGCTTAAATACTAAGGCCTGTGTGCACGACTAGCGGCAGGAACACGTCAGTGCACGCTAACGCATGTCCACACTTTTGGGTGCAACCAGCCATAGCTAAAAACCATGGTCCAGAGTCTTGCCGCACATGGACAGGTCATATACAGGCATGGATCTCAAAGGTACTGTAACAGTCGGCATTCCACATTAAACTGTAACCATAGAACTCGTGGAAAAATTCATACAACACTCTAAAATTTTGTCTGTCGCTCAGTGAACTGGTCCTTTATTTACAACACCTAAGGACCTTGCTTTACAAAATTGTATTTAAAAAAAAAAAGTCAGAACCAAACCACAAGAGGGCGCTCTGTGTTTTGTAATAAATATACTTGGCTAAGTTGCTTGTCTGTTTTATATTCTTTTAGTTGGCAGTTAGCTGATATTTTCTGTAACATTGTTTTAAATGCCCAATAATTGGCATCCAGTAGAATTTGTTATACAGCTCTAATGCGCCTGTACACAAAAGGCCTAAAACTGCCCCTTAGACAGATTTAGATATGCATCATTTAAAATGGCAATAAACCCAGAAGTAAACATTTATTATATCACAGCTTACCAACTCTGAGATGTGATAGCTGCATTAGTTTTCTTTTTCAGGTTTTTTTCCTTTTTTACCTGGTGAACTGGCCAGTAAGTCTGTTGTTTTTCAACAGAACAAGCTCAGCCTACAAATGTATCAGTTAAGAGTGTTGGGACAAACCATTTACCACTGACGGATGCTTACAATGGTCAGCTTTTATACATTTATGCAAAACGTTTATCCCACAAGAAAAAAAAACTGTTGCTGTAACTGCAGTGTGAGCTGGAGTTTGGCTTTAGTTAGCTTATCTAAATCTATTAGTACATCTAACACGTCTCTTCCCATAGATTACCAATGCTGCTGTGCCCCTGTGCTTTTTCATCCAGAGTGGGGACACACTAGTGCAGGAAGTGTGTTAGTGGCCAGATCGGGTGACGCAGGGAAAAAGCCTAAAAAAGAAAAGTAATGTGGCCACCGCATCTAAGGATTGCTTAGCTGAAAGATGTTATATATTTGGCTTTGGACTTAATACCACTTTAATACAGCTATGAATTCAGAGCTAGCACAAGCACATGAATCTATCTAATTATCTGCCTCCTGTAATTTCCTGTACAGCAGTAATCCCTCACTCGAGGCATGTTAGTTTATGCAGTGTACATGTGAACATGCTTCCAGAAGTGCAGAACACAGACGATTGCATCAGTATGCCATTGCTGCTTATTTTTTGATCATAGGCTGGGGGAGTCCTGGATAATGACTCATTTTCGTTGGCGTAGGTAATGACTAAAGCCCCCCTAGATTTTCTTACCTCAGCATGAGGTAGGGAAGGTGTGGCCTGCGGGCCACAGGTTTGCCATGAATGGTGTGAAGCAGGGGTCTCCAAACTTTCTAAGCAAAGGGCTAGTTTACTGTCCTTCAGGCTTTAGTGGGGGCCAAATTTCAGCCAGTGGAATTAGAAAATGCCCCAACATCAATGAGCATAATCCATGCACCATCATTGGTTTTATTGAGAGGAATAGTGCCCCATTGGTGGTATCAAGAGGAAGAATGTTGTTCCATCATTGATGTCAGTTAGTTGACTAGTGCACCAAGGGCAAGATAAAGGCAAGCAAAGGGCCACAGTATGGAGTCCACTGGTATAGAGGAATTTGAAGCGAATTACTTTTTCTCCCAACTGTCAAAATTTTGTGTGGCAGTTTGATATCCACACTGTGACATCCATTTTGGGACTCACTAGCTTACACAGCATGGAGGGGAGAAAGCATTACAGATGATGTGTGTAAGCAACAATATCCCCCTTCTGCCTTTTAATGTTCCTGAGAAGTGTTACCACTCCTGCTCTGATAACATAGTCCCTACCATGCAGATGCACTGTCAGAAGACAAAAGCTTGTCTTAACATCCTATCCTGTTATTTTAATATCAGTTATGTAGTTAAGCCAGCCATAGATGGTTCGAATCTCATCCGGTTTAGCAAGGACTGAACAAGATTCAAACCATCTATGGGAATGCTGATTGTTGTACAACTTTGGTACAACCAGCCTGTCAGATTTTTCATGTGATTATTGCCAGCGGCTATAGCCACTTGCAGTAATCACTGTGTTCTCTCGGCAGGCATGGCTGTCCCCTGCGCAGTCCCGCTGGGAGAACACAATAGCTCCGCAGAAGTGATTCCCTCTGAATGACTATGATGATAGGGTAATTGAGCAACTTTCTTTCCTGCAACTTGTGGTTGCAGAAAGGAAAATCACATCTGATTTAACATCTAAATTGCCTGAAAATTGGGCAGCACATTGGCTTAGTGGTTCACATAGCTGCATTAAAGCACTGTGGTTCCCATTTTTTTTTTTTTTTTTTTTTTTATCCCAGTCAGGACAGTTTCTGCATGGAGTTTGAATGTTCTCTCTGTGTTTGCAGCGGTTTCCTCTGGGTAGTGAGTTAATTGACTCCTGTCTAAATTAGCTCCAGGATGTGTGTGCATGAGAGATCGGGACCTTAGATTGTAAGCTCCTCAAGGGCAGAGACTGATGTGTATGTACAGTAAAGGGTTGTGTAAATTTTCGGTGCCATATAAATACTTATAATAAGTAAATAGTAATAATTATTATTCTCCTTCTCTGTTAGTGTCATCATGAGGTTTTCCCTTTAAAAGAAGAGGCACCAGCTGAATATGAGGTACAAGTAATAGTATAACATATCTGTTCATCTCTAATAATACGGCTAGAACTATATCTTTATAGTTCATAGATACAGCTTTAATGTAATTGGACACACCTCCTGTTAACCATTTTTAGGGTTAATGTTCATCAATCCAACTGAATGCCAGATTTTTAAGAGATTTATTATCTTGTATGTTTCATGCAGATTTCTGGGAAGGTTTCAGAGGATGAAGGTACTCCGGGTTTTCTGTGCTTCTCTCGTTGTCCTCCTCTTCCTGATTGGTGCCCTTGCTGCCCTTCTGCCCACTGCTCATGAAGATTCTATGTTGGGGGTTCGGCGGGGAGTATCCTTCTCTGGCCTCTCCTCACCGCACTCTTTCACTCTCATAATGCAGAGCTTTAACCGAACTGATTTGTTACTGAAAATGTTAAATCACTACCAGGCCATGCCCCATCTCCATAGGATAATTGTAGTGTGGAATAATGTGGGGCAGGACCCACCACAGGAGTTGTGGGAAAGTCTTGGACCCCATCCTGTGTCTGTTTACTTCAAGAAACAGAGCGTTAATCTCATGCGAAACAGACTGCAGAATTTCCCAGAGATCCAAACCAAAGGTGAGTGCAGCTAATGTGTTTCTCACTACAAATCCACATTGAGTTTATTCCATATTGAGTTACCAGCTTCTTTTTTCTCATCTGGACTCCAGCACCATAATGTCTGCATCTGAATAAGGAAGTCTCACTTCTCTTGTTGGGATTTTCAGTACTCTACAGTGCATATAATGCCACAGGAGGCAGGGCACACCACTGCAGGATGTGGCCACTTGGGGACGCCAATGAAGAGTGCCATGCTGAGCAAGAGACAACCTACTGGCATTTGGCTGGGGCCCATGATGACCACAGTCCTAGCCATAGAATTAAATGGAACAAACGGCATACATGCTACATTAAGTGTGTGTGTCTAGGGGTGGTGGTGTAGATGTGCAACAGTTACAAAGGCTGCGATGGTGATTAGGCTATAGCAAACCTTTAAGAGAAATATCTACTAAGTGTAAAGGCTATCTTTGCCTAGCTGTCATGCTAGGTCAGTGGTTATAGCATTTATGAGTTACTGACTTGGGATAAATGTGCAGATCAAGGGTCCTGATATCTGTCTGACTTTGATTGTATGTTTGTCCCTTGACGTTAAAGAGTAACTCCACTTTTGTGGGAAAAAAAAATTGGCAAAAAAAAAAAAAATATAGTGTATACAATTGCAACTAAAGTCATATTGTAATTGATCGCTATTAAAAATGAGCTTTCCTTTTCAATCTGTAGCGCTGTAATTTTCTGTAAAATACTCTGAAATGTGGCTACCTGGAGGCATTCTGTACACAGATGGTGTACAGAACGCCCCTAAGAAATGTAATTTCTTGTGTGATTGGCTCACTAATTCTCCCAGAAGCCTGCACTAAGATACAAGTCAGGTTTTTGACAGAAGTCTGCACTAAAATACAAGTCAGATTTTTTTACATCCCTTGTAACACTTTTGGTGAGATACTTCCAAAGGGAAATCATGTCTAAAAGGATTTAGACCCTTGCGCTTTCCTCAGTAGAACCGAGAGCAGCAGCTGATTGATGATTATAAAACCACTCCTATACAGATTCTCTCAGCTCATGGGCACAGAAAAAACAAATATCTATTTCTTCAGAATAACAAAAGGTAGGAATCTGCAACAAAGTTTATTAAAATTCTTGCAATGTACATAGATCACCCAGAGGGAATGTTTTTCTTTTTTTTTTTTTTTTTTCTCAACAAAAATGGAGTTACTCTTTATTTCAGATAGTATTGAAGATACTGAATCAGCAGGACAGCCTGGCAGCTACCTTTTTTGAAGGTCAGCAATGGCAGCCTTCATATTTCTCACGTGACAGGTTTAATAAATTTATTAGGTGCAATATGTTCCCTAAAGTTTATTTTTTTCCGAGTTCTGTGTTTTTTTGATGCAACCAGATTCCAGAGATTGACTTACATGTGAATGACTGCCTGTATATACTTCCTAAAGCATGTGCAGCTCCCCCTCCTCTGAATAATGTATCACCAGTGAGATTCAGCCTTCCGGTCCAGGTTTGAATCTAACTGGAGGTTGTGAGGAAGTTCTTGGACCTTGGGCTTTACGAGGGATGTAAAGGAAACTGGACTGGATGGATTTGAACATACTATACTGCATTACAAACAAGTTAGAAAAAGGGTTCCTAGATTCCCACATAACTGAATGAAAAGTGTGAAGACCTTACCAGGTATGCATTTTAGGTTTAAAGCGGTAGTAAACTCTGGGGGGGGGGGGGGGAAAGTTTTTCCCTGCAAGGCAATGTCCTAATCGGCAAGTATGGAACTCATACTAGCCCATTATGTGAAACACCTTAAAACGAAGCCCTCCAGCAGCGCGTTGTCACCGCTGACAGTGCTTCTATTTTCACTCGGTCCTTTCTTCCGGGTTCTCGGGCTCCATCGGCTTGAATGGCTGAACTGCGATGCCGTCACTCCCACGCATGCGTGCAGGAGTCACTTTTTACGGCACACAGTTCTGAAGGAATGGCATGAGCATGTCTGTCTTTCAGAGTGCATATGCTGGTGTTCTACACAGGTAAATATCTTGCATGTTTAGGAGGTATTTACAGTTCCTGTGACCCTCATGAGAAGCATGGCCAAAAGAGATTTGACCATTCTTTTAGGATTGGTTGGATTGCATCTTTAAGTGAATAAGAAAGGCAGCATATTGTACTTGCAATATTTCAAGAATGTTTGGCATTGCAACCTCTCACTAGAAGAAGTGTGAGAAGAATGTGAGGTGGTATGTACAAAATGTTCACATTCGGCCTCTTTCACACGGACGTTCCGTATGTCCGTTTTTCATCTGTCCATTTACGGATGAAAAACGGACACCCAGGTATTTCTATGGACTAACGGATGTGAACAGATGATCATCTGTTTACATACGTTAATGTCCCGTATCCATTAACATCCATTTTTTTTGAACGAAAGAAAACCCAAGTTTTCTTCTGTTAAAGAAAAAAACAAAAAAACCTGGAACTGACAAAAACTGATGGAAAAACCAGATCGAAACTGATGGAAAAATGGATGTAAACTGATGGAAGACCGGATGTAAACTGATCCGTCTTTGCTTGGAAAAAAACAGAACGCACGTGTGAAAGGGGCCTTACTGTTACTCTTTGGCAGTGAGGGATTGAACACTGCATTAATGCGGGGCATAAACTGTTTGTCTCTTACAGCTGTGCTAATGATGATGATGATGACACACTCCTTAGTGCATATGACATCTCCTTTGCTTTTACCGTATGGCAGGTAATTAAAACAGATTATGTCTGAACTGTGATTCTTCAACCTGGATCATTAGCGTTGCTGATCATATTATGCAAGTAATTAAACATAATGACTGAAGTAAAAGACAAGGATTTATTTATGTCCCTAGAATTGAGTTATTTTAGCTAGTTACAGATCTGCCACTCACCAGCAGCCACTTCCTGTCTGTTTGCTCTCTTCATTATTGGCTGCATACGTTTACTCTGGATAGGCCCTTATGGTAGCCTTAGGCCAGTTTTCTGTTAGTATCTGCAATCCAAAGTTTTTGAGACTATCAAACAGATCAAGAGAACCTACCACCAACAGTTTGTATATTTATATTTTTATCTATATGGCAGGGATAGTGGTATTACAGTCATGGCCAAATCTATTGGTACCTTTTCATTTGTCAAATAATGCACCACTTTGCCAAGAAAATTGTTGCAATGACAAATGTTTAGGCATTCTTATGTTTATTTCTTTTGTTTGTATTGGTATGACACAAAAAAAAGCGGAGAAACAAAAAGCCAAATCTGACACATTCCACACAAATCCCCAAAAATGGAGTGGAAAAAATTATCAGCACTGTCAATTTAATATTTGGCAGCACGCCCCTTGGAAAAAAATAACTGAAATCAATCAGTTCCTGTAACCATCAGTGTGTTTCTTACACCTCTCTACTGGAATTTTGGAGCACTCTTCTTCCGCCAACTGCTGTAAGTCTCTCAGATTGGAAGAGTTCCATTTCCCAACTGCTGTTTTGAGATCTCCCCACAGGTTCTGTATAGGATTGAGATCTGGACTCATTGCTGGCCAGTTCAGTCCTCTCCAGCGCTTTGTCTTAAACCATTTCTGGCTGCTTTTTGACATGTACTTTGGTCATTGTCCTGCTGTAAGACCCATGACCTCTGACAGAGACCCAACTTTTTGACACTGGGCTCTACATTGCTCCCCAGAATTCTTTGGTAGTTTTCAGATTTCATAATGCCATGGTCAAGATATCTAGTGCCTGAACCAGCAAAGCAACCCCAAAACATCAATGAACCTCCACCATGTCTGATTGTAAGGACTGTATTATTTTCTTTAAAGGCCTTATTGCTTTTTCTGGAAACCGTAAAATGATGGGCTCTACCAAAAATCTGTAATTTTTTGTTTTGTCTGTCCACAGCACATTTCCCCCAAAAGGATTTTGACTTCCTCAGGTAAATTTTGGCAAACACCAATCTGGCTTTTTTAAGTTTCTGTGTCAGCAGTGGGGTCTTCCTGGGTATCCTACCATAGAGTCCCTTTTCATTCAGATGGTGACATATAGTGGAAGCTGATATAGTGGTACCCTGTGTTTTTAAAGTCAGGTTGATTTTGTCTTGAAGTTGATCAAGGTTCTTTATCCACCATTTGAACAATTCTTCATTGCAATCTTTGATCAATTTTTCTCAATTGCCCACGTCCAGGGAGATTGGCTACAGTGCCATGGGCTGTGAACGTGTTGACAATGTTGCGCATAGTGGACACAGGAACATTAAGATCTCTGGAGATGGACTTGTAACTTTGAGATTGTCCATGCTTTTCCACAATTTTTGTTCTCAAATCCTCAGACAATTCTTTGCTGCTCTTCTCCAGGCTCCATGTGGCACATAAAGACACGCAACGGAAAGGTTGAGTCAATTTTTCACCATTTTAACTGGTTGCTAGTGTGATTTGTATATTGTCAGCACCTGCTAATTGATACAGTTGAGTTTACAAATTACAGGTGCATCATATACTTGAAATGCAGTTATTTCTTTCAAATTTGAGAAGGTGCCAATAATTTTGTCCAGTCCATTTTTAGGGTTTTGCGTAGAATGTGTCAGATTTTGCTTTTCGTTTCTTCAGTTTTTTTGTGTCCTACCAATACAAAAAAAAAAAAAAAAAAAAATAAACATGACAATGCCTAAACATTTGTAATTGCAACAATTTGTTGGGTGAAGTGGTGCATTATCTGACAGAAATACTGGGGTGCCAATATTTTGGCCATGACTGTACGTGCTGATCCATTTAGTCTCCCTGTAGTTGCAAGCCGGTCAACATGGTTGACATTGCCAGATGACTGTCATATGTCCAACATTAAACTAAGGAGTCTTTACAGGGAGCTCAATAAGCTGAACATACTTGTTTGTCAACAGAATAAAGGGTGAAGGAGGATGCTAAATGTTTCTGCAACATAATTGGGGAATAGTAGCAATCGGAGCAGATGTTTTTAGCCATTTCAATACCGGGCACTTTTACCCCCTCCATGCCCAGGCCAATTTTCAGCTTTCAATGTTGTCGCACTTTGACAATTGCACGATCATGCAATACTGTACCCATAAAAATATTTTATTTTGTTTCACACAAATAGAGCTTTCTTTTGATGGTATTTAATCACCATTGAGTTTTTTTTATTGCAAATAAATAACATTTCTTAATAAATTTTGGTTTAAAATATATTCTTCTACATTTCTTTGGTGAAAATACCCCAATTTAGTGTATATTATTTAGTCTGTAGGAAAGTTATAGAGTCCACAAACCATGATATATACAGTTGTGTTCAAAATAATAGCAGTGTGTTGAAAAAAGTGAATAAAGCTCAAAATCCTTCTAATAGCTTTTATTTCCATACACACAAATGCATTGGGAACACTACACATTCTATTCCAAATCAAAACATGAAGAAAAATATATCAAATTTGTGTTGTTCCTCTAAAAAAAAAAATTGACAAAGTGAATATTAGACTGTTCAAAAAAAATAGCAGTGTTTGTATTCTTCTTTACAAACTCAAACATTCACTATATAAACTGAAAAATGTTTAAAGATTTTGCTTTCCTTTGAATCACTTAATTAATATTTAGTTGTATAACCACTGTTTCTGAGAACTGCTGTACATCTGTGTTGCATGGAGTCAACCAACTTCTGGCTCCTGTGAACAGGTATTCCAGCCCAGGATGATTGGACTACATTCCACAGTTCTTCTCTATTTCTTGGTTTTGCCTCAGAAACTGCATTTTTGATGTCCCCCACAGGTTTTCTATTGGATTAAGATCCGGGGATTGGGCTGGCCACTCCATAACGTCAATCTTGTTGGTCTGGAACCAAGATGTTGCACGTTTACTGGTGTGTTTGGGGTCGTTGTCTTGTTGGAACACCCATTTCAAGGGCATTTCCTCTTCAGCATAAGACAGCTTGACCTCTTCAAGTATTCTGATGTATTCAAACTGATCCATGATCCCTGGTATGCGATAAATAGGCCCAACACCGTAGTATGAGAAACATCCCCATATCATGATGCTTGTGCAACCATGCTTCACTGTCTTCACAGTGTACTGTGGCTTGAATTCAGTGTTTGGGGTCATCTGACAAACTGTCTCCGGCCACTAGACCCAAAAAGAACAATCTTACTTCCATCAGTCCACAAAATGTTGCGCCATTGCTCTTTAGGCCAGTCAATGTGCTCTTTGGCAAATTGTAACCTCTTCAGCACGTCTTTTTTTCAACAGTGGGACTTTGCGGGGGCTTCTTGCAGATAGCTTGGCTTCACATAGGCGTCTTCTAATTGTAACAGTACTCACAGGTAACTTTAGACCTTCTTTGATCTTCCTGGAGCTGATTGTTGGCTGAGTCCTTGCCATTTTGGCTATTCTTCTATCCATTCGAATGGTAGTTTTTTGCTTTCTTCCACGTCTTTCAGGTTTTGGTTGCCATTTTAAAGCATTTGTGATCATTTTAGTTGAGCAGCCTATCATTTTCTGCACTTTATATGTTTTCCCCTCTCCAATCAACTTTTTAATCAAGGTACGCTGTTCTTCTGAACAATGTCTGGAATGACCCATTTTCCTCAGAATTTCAGAGAGAAATGCACTGTAACCAGCATGTACAACATTTGCTGCCTTCCTTCCTTAAATAAGGGCAGTAATTGCCACCTGTTTTTCAAAGAATGAATGACCTCACTAATAGAACTCCACACTGCTATTATTTTGAACATGCCCCTTTCAATTAGTGATTCAATACTTACACAGAATCAGCAGCATTCATGTCATGCTTGTTGGGTCTGTTGGATTTCTATTACTCTACTACACCTTCTAGTAAATTATTTGCCATGTAGAAATATAATTTCTACGAAAAACAGTGATTGATCCGGTTAGTGATGTCTGACTGCTATTATTTTGAACACAACTGTATATCTGACAATCGATCAATCAATGTACTGATGGCCAATCTCATTTCTTGAGGCCAAAAAACGCCAGCATAGCACAAATACCTCCCAAATTGCCCATTTTTGGAAAATAGACAGTCCAAGGTATTTAGTAAGAGGTATGGTGAGTTTTTTTGGAGGTTCTACATTTTCAAAAAAAATATTATTTTTTTTTCTTTTTACATATTGTTACCAGTCCAGTACAACGTGATTATATAACTGGTGTGGCGGTGATCAGGGACACTGACTGGTGACAGTATATAAAAAAAAAAACAGCCCTTTTTTTTTTTTTTTTTTATTATTATTTATTTTACTATTTTTTTTTTTTTTCAACACACTGTGACCAAAGCAATACAATGTTACCATAGTAACACTGAACTATTCTGGGCAATGTTCAGGATTTTTTTTTTTTTTTTTTTTACAGGTTATGATTGCTAATACCAATGTATTTAATTGATATTTGCAATCATTGTTACTGAATGAAACTGATTCATTCAGTCTCTTGTGATTAGCTGTGATTGGGCAAAGCTCATCACATGATACAGATGGGCTGTGATTGGCCCTGTCTGTACCATGTGGCTGCTTTTGATCAATCACAGCTAACAACACAATTGTATACAATGAATGGCATGGCAGGAAGCCATCTATTGTATACAATCGACATGTGATCTGCTTTGATTGGTCACATGACACTGGAAACGGGCCGTTGTAGTGATATGTCATTGGCTGTGTCCCGTGGACACGGCCAGTGAGAGATCGTGCTACTGCGTGGCCACGTGAATGGCTGCTTTTGAC